TTAGCTTTGTTCTTGTCTATCTCAATCCCCTTTTGGTGCACCAAAAATCCTAGAAAGTTTCCAGCTGAAACACCAAAGGCACACTTCTTTGGATTTATCTTCAATTGATGTTTTCGCATTCTCTCGAAAGCCGATCAAAGATCAATCAAGTGACCTGGCCTTGACTCCGACTTCACAGCTACATCGTCAATGTAAACTTCCAAGTTTTGACCGATCATGCGGTGGAAGATGGCATTTATCGCCCGTTGATATGTGGCACCGGCATTCTTGAGGCCGAATGGCATCACCACATACTCAAAGGTTCCAATAGAACCGGGACATTTGAAGGCTATTTTGTGCACATCCTCCTCGGCTATGAAAATTTGATTATAGCTGGAGTGTCCATCCATAAAGGATAAGATTTCATGCTTGGTTGCCCATCAACTAAGAGGTCAGCCATAGGCATGTGATATTCATCTTTAGTAGTTGCAAGATTGAGATTACAAAAATCAACACAAATTCTTATTGCTCCAGTCTTTTTCTTTACAAGTACAATATTTGAAAGCTATTCAACATACCTAGCTAGCTGTTGGCGTTCGCAAATCTCACGGCCTGGTCCCCCGGGGCGAGTGGATCTGCGTCAACACAGGTCGTCCTTCTTTGGTATGGTGTGGTTGTATGCGGGCGTGCCAGGATGGTTTGTCGTGCGCTTGAGGATGAGTTGATTGGATGGGTAGATGAGTGACGCGCCTATTTGAGTCTAACTTCCAATCGAACGATTGTGGCCGAGAGAGGAACTGATCTCGGCCGTTAGGTTCACGACCTGAGCTACAAAGTCGTTAATGGCGGTGCCGATGGTGGTTCTTAGGTGGTGCTCCGGCGTGTCGCTGGGTGGCGACGGTCATATGATATATGAGATGAACGAAAGAGTAACAAAGATAGTGCTCCGGTGCCTTGAAAATCAAGGGTTGTATGATATATTGATGAATGGATTTTCCTACAAACTGTCGCTACTCCTAAGAAAGCAAGTAAATGTATTGAAATGGCGTTACAAGAAGGTAAATGACAAGAAGTAAATGACAGGAAAATATAATATGCTCCATGGGAGGCTTGTGTTTGGTGTTGAACCCTTTAAATGTAGTTGGAGCTTATTATTTATAGGGAAGGTCTTGAGGAGACAATGAAGCTGAATATCTGCATGGTGAGGTTGATCAGAGCTAGTGGGTAGTCGAGTCGGCATTTGGGAACGTGAAGCATGGTGGTGTGACACCCATAAACCCCGGCCATCGCCTTGGTGGTGGGCTCTGCATCTCGGGCCTTGGAGGAGCATTTAATGCCCTGGTCTGAGGGTTGGTGGCTTAACCTTACAAGTCGTGAGATTTTTGCACCTAATCCCTGATTTTACTCGCCATATCCTGACCCCAATCACGTCCCCTCTTTCTTGGCTTATTAATGCTTCTACGTGGGTTATGGGCCTCCTGCTGTAGTCAGAGGAGTTACTTCATTAAATGAGGCGTGGGACCTCAACGCCACGTGGCAATGCCACTTGACCTTCCTATGTCGGCCGTATATTCGAGGAGTTTGTCATCGGCCAGTATTACCGAGGCCGTGGTGACTTTGATTTATAAGCTCACTTTTGTTTTTAACAAAAGGAAGCGAACGATGACTTGTAACGTTCGGCCGTGGATAGACGCTAGGGCCGAGAGGAAGTTCCTTTGGTCAGCCTCCTTTGGTCAGCTCCTTCGGTCGAGATTTATTAGGCACAAACACTGGCCTAATAAATTTGGCTTTAACAAGCCTTACAATTTCTTCCTTAACCTATAATTCTACTTCCATTGACATTCAGCGAGGTGGCTGCTTGAAGGGCTTGAAATCCTCTGTTGTTGGTAAGCGATGCTCGACCAAGTCACGACTCAATCCAGGCATCTCGGTATAATCCCAAGCAAAGCAATCCTTGAATTCTCTCAAAAGCTCTTCCATCTTGGTCCGAAGCTCTGGCTCCGTTAGGCCACTAACGTAGATTGGCCGATGGTTGTCTCATGTTCCTAGGCTGATCTCCAATAGCGGATCTTGGACTTTCGCCTTTGAATCATCCATCTCAGTTGGCGCCAACTCAACTTCCTCAAGTTCGAGTGCATCATCTTCCGGACCCTCGTGGAGGAATTCCACCAAATGAGCGGTGGACCCGTGTTCGGCCGCTCTCTCGGCCCAAAAACCATATAGCTGTCTCAAAGTGTCTTCCACCGCGACTCTTTTCTCTTCCTCGATGGTTGTATCACTCATTGAGAGAGAAGAAATCAGCCATTGTGGGTCGCTCCCTATCTGCTTGGGCATCATGTGCCCCTAAGTCTATCAATTTTTGGGCAAGACTCCCGTAGGTCGGCCGTTCTTATCTGACCCTATGAAATAAAGAGAACCAAGATCATTCTTGTAAAATATGGCCTCCACTGCATTGGCTGAAGCCATGAAGGGCCGTGAGTCGGCCTGAACTAGTTCCACACTCCCATCTTCATGCCAAAATTGTAGAGTCTAATGAAGCGAGGAGGGGACACACATACTTCCGTGGATCCAATCTCGACCCAACAATGCACTAAAATGAGCTGTTGTTTCTACCACGAAGAAGGCTATCATCCTGACCTTTCCTCCTACTCTGACTTGGAGAGGGATGATCCCCTTCAATCTTGTGGTGTCTCCCACAAAGCCACTGACCGTTGTCTTGGTCGGGATTAGTTCATCTGAAATCTTCTTCGGTTTCTTCATCACCGAGGCTGGGAGGATGTTCACCGTGGCACCGTGTCAACTAGAACTTTGCTCATTGGAACCCCATCGAAATGAGCACTTACGTACAGAGGTTTAAGATGGGAAGCCATACTCTTGGTGGGCATTTCATAGTACACCTTCTCCGGCCTTTTCTTCTCTAAACTTGGCACCACGATTTGAGGTTGAACTACCTCCACTTTCGGGATTTCCCGAGTCACATTGATTTCCTTTGTTTCTCCCATCTGAACCATGGATTCGACTTCATTGAAATCATCCCTATCGGCTGCGCAAATCTCACGGCCTGCGGTTCCGGGCCGAGGGGATGTGCGTTGACACGTGGCTTCCTGCTTTTGGATGCGGTGCGGTTGTGCGTCGAGATGTTGATTGTCTGCTGCGCAAATCTCACGGCCTGGGGTTCCGGGCCGAGGGGATGTGCGTTGACACATGGCTTCCTGCTTTTGGATGCGGTGCGGTTGTGCGCGGGCGTGCCAACACGGTCTATCGTGCGTCGAGATGTTGATGTGGATAGAATGGTCAAGTGGTGCGCCTGTTTGAACTCGTCTTCTAATCAAACGATCGTAGCCGAGAGAGGAACTGATCTCGGCTGTTAGGTTCACGGCATGAGCTACAAGGCCGTTTAGGGGTGGTGAAAATGGTGGGTTTTGGGCGGTGCTCCGGTGCGTTGCTCAGTGAGCGACGGTCGTATGATATATGGGGTGAATGACTGGGCAACAGAGATGGTGCTCCAGCGCCTTGAAAATCAAGGGTCGTATGATATATTGATGAATGGATTTTCCTTACAAACTAACACTACTCCTAGGAAAGCAAGTAAAGATATTGAAAGTGCATTACAGGAAAATATAATTTGCTCCGTGGGAGGCTTTTGTTTGGTGTTTGAACCCTTTGAATGTAGCTTGAGCCTTGTATTTATAGGAAGAGTTCTTGGAGGAGTAATCGAGGCTGAAAATCTGCATGGTGGAGCCTGATTAAAGCAAGTGGGTAGTCCAATCGACATTTGGGATCGTGAAGCATGGTGGTGTGACCCCATAAATCCTGGTGAATCTCGGCCGCCGCCCTAATCGTGGGTTCTGCGTTTCTGGCCGTGGAGACGCATTTATTGTTCTGATAGTTGGTGACCTAATCTCCCAAGCTGCAAGAATTCTTGTGAGAATGTCTGCGTCTAATCACTCTGATTCCTATCACTAAATCCTGACTTCAATCACTTCCCACCTTCCCTCGTGCATTAAATGCTTATTCGTGGCCAGTGGGTTTGCTTGCAATAAACAGAGGCATTGCTTCATTAAATGAAGCGTGGGACCCGGCTGCCACTTGATGATCTGATGTTAGTACCTTTGGCCGTGATTTTGTTCGACTTCGGCCTCGGCCTATAATTAAGGCCGAGATGAGCATGCCTTCGCAACTTTTCCTTTGCTTTTTAGGAAGGCCAAACATCTTGGCGAAACGCCGCGTTTTAGTTTCACGAGCAAGTGTCAGGGGCGAGAAAAGGGGCTCCTTCGGTCAGTTCATGGCCGTGATTTATTAGGCACAAACATTGCCCCCACATCCCCAGATTCTTCGGTCTTGGCAAGGGCAGGAACCGAATGGATTCCAGGGGATGGACCCTTTGCATTCCTTCAGAAGTGATTGACAATTGGTGCATTAAATGCGCAGGCCAGTCGGCGCATTTAATGCCCAAGCATGTCGTGCAGGCCATCATTGCCCAGACTTACGCGAGGCGTCGCTTCGCCTCGTCAAATGAAACGATGGTCTCTGGGCTTTCGACACGTCATCGTGCTTTTTGAGCACGCTGTCAGAACGTTACGTCTCTCAAGAGAGCCACGACTTTTCGTTTTCGAATTCTAGCGCCAATATAAAAACCCAGACTTCTTCGTTTGTTCTTTACGCTTTCAGAATTCTCAGACGCCCAAGCTTTGCCAAAAACCTCTCTCAATCCTTCAATCCCACCACGCTCTTAAGTCCCCAAGTTTACTAGAGAACCTTGCCTGCAACCACGATTTTCTTTCATTCTTGAGTTCCGTCCTTTCAAGAACCCACAAACCCTCACCCTCTTCTGGGCTTTCTTCTGGTGTTCTTCACGTTCATCGCCTTTTCTCTACATTTTCCCTCTAAACACCCAACTTAGATATGTTTTAATGGCCTCCAGTACCTCCACATCTGTTGAAGCTCGGTCCTAAGCCTTTCAGACGGAGTTTGAAGATATTTGCCGAGAAATCCAGGGCTCGGTCCTACCTAACATCATCATGCCCTGGACTGATGATGACGGCGTTGCCACCGATTCCTGCGTCCTCGGCCCCTCTGTAAATGGTGGGATGCCAGAGAGGTTGGTAGCTCATTTGAAGAACAATCTGGTGGACCTCTCAGTTTTTGACGGGGGGGATTTCCAAGATTGGAACGTCGTCAGGCCGCAGCCCCAATGGCCAATCTCGACCCCAGACTGGGAAAAATGGCTACCGAGGATGGAGCACTTCTTCGGCCAGCAATGGAAGGATCAAGGTATCTATCACTTGATCAAGCTGTTCGATCGGCCGCTCGTCATGGACCGGTCGCTCTTGGCCGCGACCCTATGCTTCTGGTCATCGGCCACGAATACCATGAATTTTTGGTTTGGCATGATGACGCCAACTGTTCTAGACATGGCTGCCCTTTTCGGCCTCTCTCCTCTCGGCGTAGAAGTGAACGCCGCACTTGTTGCTCCTGAGGCAGAAGGGAGTTTCAAGGCTACCTGGCCTATTCTTACGAGAGTCGCCGGGAGCAAGGCGAAGAACATGCTCAACTACTCCAGTTTTTACAGCAACTTCGGTGTAGACGACGCCATCGCCCCCCACGGCGAAGTTGAGCACGCCGCATTCCTGCCGTACTGGCTGTGCAAGTTTGTATTCTGCACCCAGGGGAACAAGGTCACCCTGGAGTTCGCCCACTTGGCCGATTATTTTGCGCAGGGCGGAAGGTTAGCACTCGGCCCATTCCTGCTCGGCCACATCTACCGCACGCTTCATGACATCGTCACCAATGGGATGAAGCCGAAGCACGGTGGTCCACTATGGGCTTTCCAGTTCTGGCTGCAAGCTTACTTCCCAGAGCTGAGGGGGGTGGCCAACATTACTGACACCGAGCCGCTGGCCAACGCATTTGCCCGAGCCCCCAGGAAGCATAACACCTCGGCCCTCTGCTATAAATTTTTCTATGGCCTGGCCGAGAGAACTGGCACGCAGTTCCGCATCTGCCTTGCTCGGCCATTCCCTCTATTCCTGGCGCACGACCTCTCCGTCATTCCTGATGGCGAGACAGAGAACGACTTGAAGGAGATCTGGGGCTCCTTCCTAGTTTCGCGTGATCTTCACTGCGGCGTATCCAAGGTTTATCTGCCAAATTTCGTGGCGCGGCAATTCGGCCTGATTCAGACGGCCCCACTTCCCCCCTTGTCAACCAACTGGCTCTCGTCCTGGAGGGCCAACGTCGCCCAGTAGCACAGCGTGGCTGGCATTTCCTTCCAGCTCCAAAAGGGGATGACCTTCCTTACTCTGACGCCTTGGTTGCGTTGTAATGCGTATGATGAGGATGGAAGGGTCTGGTACGAGGAGTGCATATCGGCCAGATTTTTTCGGCCCGTTGAAGAGGCCGCGAGGGTGGCTTTGAAGAATGCAGATTGGGACCCCCTCCCCCCAAAGGGCAGCAAAGTGAAGAAGGTATCAACCGGGCCTCCTCGACTGAGTACCCCGGCCGTGGCCGTACCTAGGGTGGCGGCCCCTCCTTCAGCTAGAGCAACGGTCGTGGCCTCAACCGCAGCCCCAACTTCTAGGGCGACGGCCGTAGTGGGGGCGCGGAAAACCTTGAAGCACAGGACCGTGCCGTCCTCTCCTCCTGTTCGGCCGAGTGCCACTGCTGGTAAGCACTTTCCCCTTTTCTCTATATATGTTATTTTTCTCGACCTCCTTGAGCCACCTTTGCTCTCGTTTATTTTACCCCTCATCTCTTTTGCTTCTTTCCCTTTTGTATACGTAGCCCAAGGTCGCAAGAGGGGTCGAGAGCCCCCAAGCACTGAGGCTGCTCCGGCTGAGGCCGCACCGGCTGGGAGTGTTGCGGTCGGGACGGCGGCGCCAGAGCGGCCGAGAAAAAGGGCCCTCCTCGTCTTCTCGGAGGGCGAGGATGAGGAGGAAGCCCCTCCTATGGTTGTAAGTGAAGCCCCTCCCGTGGCCGTGAGTATTCCCCCATTGATTTCTTCTCCCTTCTTTATCCTCTAGGCCACCCCCTCCCCTCTTTATATACTTTGGTAATCTGGTTCTTTCCTCAAGACGAGGTAGTGGTCGAGGAGGAAGCTACTGCCGAGGAGCCAGCCGTCGAGGAAGCGGCCGCTGTCGAGATGATGGTCGAGGAGGTGGGCACTGCAGAGGCGGTGGTTGAGATTGCGGCCGCAACCGAGACGGTGGTTGAGGGGGCGGCCACTGCCGAGGTGGCAGAGACGTTGGATGTCGAGATAGCAGTCGCAGGGGTGCCAACTGCTGAGGAGGGCGCCGTGGATGTCCTAGACGACGAGGTCATTGTCCTGGAATCGACGCGGACCGCCCCAGTAGAAGTGCTCTCAGCTTCTTCTGCCGTGCCTTCCTTGGCTGTTATCGCGTCTACCGAGCCGTTCCTGTCCACTCCTCGTCGTCCAAACGGCATTGTGTTCCGCTCGGTAAGCGTTTGCTTTTATTATACTTAGCTTTATTTTTAGAATTGCGCCACATGCTTCTGACCGAACTTTCTGCTTCCAGCCTCCCCGGTCGTCGCCGCCGCTGTCCATGGTTGCTGCAACCATGCCCCCAGCGCCGCTGTCCCAGGACTCGACGGTTGTGACCGAGCTGGTGGTAACCGGGGCCACGACCGTGAGTGTGCCGAGTTCCTTGCGGGCTACCTCGACGGTCCTGACCGAGCTTTCGGTCATGGGAGTTCCTGCCGCACCGCTCGCCATTGCAGTGAGTATTCGGCCCTTTTTCTTCACCTTGTCATTCCTCGTGTCCCAGCTGGTTGTTTCTCACCTAAAACTCCTTTTTTTTTCTTTTCAGGAGACCACCTCCTCCGACGATCTTGAGGAGTTATACGCCAGCCTCCATGAGGAAGGAGGTAGCTCAACCTCGACTCCCCTGGACGAGGATTCTAGGACCGTCGTTGAACGGCTCCGAGAGTTCCTTTTCTTTGGGGTTCATCAAATGACCACCGCCGAGGCGTTCATGGAGTTTAGGTCCTGCCTGGATACGGTTATGGCGCTTGGTCTGCTGAACTCGGCTCAGCTGGATGAGTTGCAAGCCCGTCTAGCCGAAGGCGAGGAGATGATCGGCCGATATGCTGAAGCCATTACGAGGATGGCCAAGGGAAGCTCGCTCGAGCAAGAGCTGGTGGAGATAAAGGAACAAGTCTGAACCGCTATGGCCCGATTGAAAGAAAATGACCTCGTCGTTCGATGGGAGAATGAAGAACTTGCGCAGGTCGAGGCTCAGATTGCCGAGCTCCAGGCCCGTCGAGATCTCATCCTTCAGCGCCGAGATGGTGCGGTTGCGGCCGGGAACGAGCTGAAGTCTTCGGCTAAGCAAATCCTTAAAGCAGCGATTGAGACGAAGAAGGCATTGGCCGAGTGGAAGCTGATCTGGGTGAGATGGCAGGCGGACATAGACGGCGGGGATATCGCTTGGCGAAGGATCACCTGCCTGATCTGGGGGATGTTCAGCGAAAGGGTCTAGGCGAGAGGCGAGCGGCGAGCGGCTGTTTTAAATGTTTCTTGGGGATGTAATAATTAACTACATACATAAACTTTATTTTATATATATATTTTTTGTATGACATCTGTATATTTTCTTTCGATCGGCCACGACTGGCCGTTCACCCTTATTGTAAAGAAAAACTTTTTAATATAAATATAAGGCCAGGCCCTTTTTTCCTAAAAGATCAAACGCACGCTTCTCGTCTTATGTTGACTGCACCGTTTGTTTAACTCGCTCGCCTACTTCCCCCTCTTTTTCTTTTTGACTTTTTGGTCGTAGGCCCTCGGTGCCATTTTTTCTGGAACTTGCACCGAGTTGTAAGCGTCGAGTCTCGACTGTTCTAAGTTTTCTGAACTCCAGGGCCCGGTTTGCGAGTAGTCCTTCTCCTTTTGGCTATGTTGTTTGATAATTTGAAGAAATCGAACCCCCAGTTCCAATAGTCCATCAGTGTCATGGCCGTAGGCCAAGACGTAAGGAGATGTGTCTACGACCGAGTTTTTTGAGGTGCGGCGTGCCAAAAAAGCTTTAGGAAATAAGTTGCGCCAAACCCTGGGTTTCCTTGATAGGTACGGCTTTGTGTAACCTGGTGCCCCCGGCTGCCCTTGTGTTAAACCGTCTTTCATCACACACCGGATATCTTTGAACTGAAGCCCTTGAAAAGGCCTATCCTGTTGCGCATCGTTTCGCAGCTTTACCCGCTGGGTCGTTCGAGCAAAGGGCTTGGCCGCTGCGACCGAGCCGGGTGGTATTAGAGGAACGCCGTGGGCTTGATCGAGGTACGTTTGGTCCGCCGGCCCTCGAGGTATGGCCACCTGGTTCTGTTGGATCGCATCATAATGGGAACCTAGGTGCGTCTGCGTTGTCGGAGGAATGGCCGGATCGTGTATTTGTACAGGTAGTCCAGCGGTCAAGCCATTCTGATCGTGTTGCTGTGATGACGCTTCTGTCGCATTGCTCTGGGCGGGCTGCGCCTGATCGGCCAAAGTATGGGTTGGGCCGAATTGCTGGACCGTAG